ACGCGCGGCGTGGGCACGCCCTCCGCCAGGCAGTCGATGAGCTTCCGGCTGCCGCCGGCCGCGATCTCCCGCACGGTGGTGATGGCGTCGGGGTGCCCGTTGATCTTGGGGGACTGCACGTGGACGTGCACCCACACGACCTTGCGGTCCTCGCCCGCGCTGTTCCGCACCACGCAGGTGTAGTTGCCGCTGTCGGAACGCTGGGCTTTCTGGATGAGCAGCGTGCCGTCTTCGTAGATCTGGTACTTCTCGGACGACGTGGGGATCGGCTTGTTGGTCGGGGACAGCCAGGTCACCTTGGGCGTGGGCTCCCCCTTGGCCTCGCACGCCACCGTGACCACGTCCCCGTAGGGGACGTGGACCACGGCGTACGTCTTGTTGCGGATGGCAGCGGGCTCGGCCACCACCTTGACGTGCACCGTCATCTCGTCTCTGCCCACCTGGTTCTTGGCGAAGCAGGTGTAGTCGCCCGCCTCCCGCATGCCCACCTCGTTGAAGTAGAGCGTCCCGTTGTTGAAGACGACGTAGCGCTGGCCCCGGCCGCCACCGCCGTCATCCGACTGCACGAAGGAGTGCACCAGGCTCCCGTCCGGGAGCCCCCAGACGATCTCGGGGTCGGGGAGCCCGCTGGCCACGCAGTCCACCCTGAGGTCCGCCCCGTAGAACACTCTGTGGTCTTGTTCCTCTTTGGACTCGATCTTGGCGGGCTTCATGACCACGTGCACCTGCAGCACGACGAAGTCGTCGCCCACCTGGTTGCGGGCCACGCACAGGTAGTCCCCCGCATCTTTGTCTGTGACGGACGACACCACCAGCGTCCCGTTGGCGAACGCCCGGACTCTGGGGTCGAAACTGTCGGTGGAGGAAAACAAACAGAATATGAGGTCAGTGTCCTGAATGCTACGCCCTGGCTGTCGGTCCCTGGACGGACGCCCGAGCTGTCCCGCCCAACGCCACGCTTTCTGCAGCCTGGACAGCACTGCGTCCAAACGCAGACGCCTCTCGCCGCCAACGGGCACTGCCCGGTGCGCTCTGAGCTTCGGGCGGCCTGGCTACCGATTCCAGCAGGTGACTGCGCTCAGCGCCTTCAGCCCTGAGCCCGTGGGGCGTGTGGGTGGGTCAAGCACCCACGTGGCGGCCAGCGCAGAGCTTACGATAATGATAACATCGCGACAGACCGAATCGGACGGATCCTTATAAGGACATAAAGTTCTTTCTGAAGAAAACGCTTTGGACGCTATTTTTCCTGCCGACGATTTTTAAACCGTATTCTACCCCATGACGAGGCAGCAACGTGGCCGACTCCGGATGGTATGACTGCGCTTATGCCCAGTTTTAATGCTAAGATCGGGTTATGCAGAACTTGGCAACATGGGCACAAAGCCTGCTCCCCTAGACTCTGAAATCACAGCTGAATGACACCAGCCGGCCGTCCACATGGACCCAAGCTTGTACGTCTGTGCGTGAATATCTCTAAAAGGCTTTCACCTGGAAAGGGTCGCGTGGAAAAAGTGACAGGAAGCTCGTCACTGTGCACGTGATGTTTTTATAAACATGGCCGTTTATAAAAAACATGTCCTGGAGCAGCTCAGAGCTAATGCTTTGAATAACAGGCTGAAATGATTTGGCGGGTTCCTGCTTCAAAACTGTGTGGATTGAAAAGTCTCAAGTAACGCCTAAATTCTCACGGTGGCACGAGCTGAGTTTAGGACTTGATTTTCGTCCCTAAATACGTCCTAAACGCTGCTCTATTCTAATCGGGCGGGTGGAAATGTGTTGTCAACATTTCCTTTTTAAAGTCTGCCTAGCAGCGAATTCGACCCGATAACCTAATTACTTTCCATAAAAGCAACTGCTAGCCACGATTTGGCAACTGTTTCGTTGGCCAGAGGTGACAATGCCCTCCACGTAAACTGTTAAAATGAGGGTGGAGTGGACAGAGGTCTTTTAACATGTCTTGCAGTTGGATCCCAAAACTGTGCACAGTAGCACATCTGTAAACGTTCCGAAGCTTCTATAGAAGTGGTTTCCAGCCCGGATCGTAATCAGTCACCTGAGAAATGGAAAAACGGGCCCGTGCATGCATCTCCGGGGACTGCAGTGTCTGTATTTTTAGACATTCCCAAGGTGGAGGCGGGAGCCACAGGCTGCTGCTTTGTGTGAGTCACATGGCTGTTTCAAACACTTGGCTCAGGACATAGATAGTAACGTTGGATTTAGTAATATTGAAGCTGCAGCCATGGCGACCGATGATTTGTCGGGAGATACCGGGACGGCGGTTCGCGCCCATACTGGAACGATAGCTTTTACCGCGTACGCTGCCTCGGCCGTGCCAAAGTCGGCTGGAAGCTGCTCTACGTGGCGGCCCCTGCCCTTGGCTGGAAGGTGTGTGGGGGGGGGGACCTAGGCACGCGGTGATCCAGACTCACGGTGCGAGGGTCACTAGGCACCACGCAGCCTTCGAAGGTTTACCGACAGATGGAGAGAACGCACCATCACCGTTCTCCTGCATCGGGAAGAGGCTGGGGACGCGGCTGTGCGGGACCCGTGAGGTGGGCTCTGCTCACTTCTAGGGGCGGGGTAGTGGCATTCAGAGGCAGGGGGACGCCCTCCGAGCTGCTGGGACACACCATGGACCAAGGTTCGTCTACCGTGGCACCACAGACGTTTTCCTGATTCCATTTCGCCAATCACCGTCCCTTTCCTATACCTCCTGATGCGCTTTTTAAGGAGACATCGACTCCTTTGGATTTGGGGCTTTCAGACGGATGGGATGCGTCCCGGAGGCCGCCCGGTGGGCGCACTGCAGGGCATGAAGCAGACCCCCTGGTCTCCACCCACCGGGTGCCGGGAGCATCCTCTCTTCCTTGAGTCACACCAACCAAAGGGGTCTGCAGACATGGCCAACTGTGTCCTGGGGACGAAACTGCCACCCTCTGGAAAGCAAGGACCGTGGAGCAGAAGGCGGCTTTCTTCCTGACCGGAACCAGCTTCGTGAATTGCGCACGGCCGCCCTGGAGCGGAACTCATGCCTTCAAATATTCTATCACGAACGCCGATTGAAAACAGGATCGGAGGCTCGTGCGAGTTACGTTGACATTAGATATTAGAAAAAGCAGGCCGCGTAGATTGCTTTGTCTAAGACGACTGCTTAAAATCCGGTTGCAGATATAATCATTAAAAGGAAAGCTACGTTTCTTGGGGGGCGGGATGGAGCAGGGGAAAAGCCAGGTGTTTGTTGTGGCTTCTCCGTTATAAAGACGAGATTTTACCGGGAAAAAGCAACACCCTCTGCCCCGAGTGCGCATGCGCCCGCGCCCAGGACGCAGAAGGCGCAACATCCGTGCGTCTTGCAGCCGGACGCCGTGTCGCGGGGGCAGGCGGGCGCGGGAGCGCAGCAGTAACGGGGGTCCCGGGGAGGCGGGGGGCGCACGTACCTGAAGAGCGCGTCGATCATGCGCTTGGACGGCAAGCGCCAGAGGATGCGCGGCCA